AAAAATATCGTAGAATTAAAATTGATAAAGAACATTTATTTTTTAAATCAGCACGACTAAATTCAATTTGTGTATCAATAAACTTGGTTATTGAGCTGGCATGGCTGCAAACAAAGTGGGTTTAAAACTTTCACACGGTCATACCTAAGAAAACCGCGGCCGGACGATTTTTTATTAAGTGAAGATAATATTCCATGCACTTTAATATATAATCGCAAACGTTTAATATATACGACTAATGTCAGAATTTGGTTGATTTTCAAAACTTAAATACAACTCTGTCCTTATCTTATTTACTTTTATTCCGACTTTTGCCATAAACGCAGAACTTTTAGTTTAGTTTTCATTTTTTCATTAAATTATCTCTTTCTTCTTTGTTTGCCTCATGTCAACAGATATTCTCAAAAGCATAATTAAACATCATCTAAGAATACATGTCATTTCCTTATTTACCAAGCAGGTTATCATTATGTAAGCAAAAATGATTTTGAAATATTTTTTATTTATTTATTTGTCTATTTACCTGCAGTGGGATAGAATACCCCAAATGAGATGGACAAGAAAGACATGTATAATGAATTTTGGAACAAGTCAAATACAACTGCTGTGACGAGTAAACTGGCATTGGTATACACCACAACAATTGCGGCTGTCATCAGTTTAAAGGAGATTCCCAAGACTGTGGCTGCAATAGAATACAAATAAATACATAACTACAAAATGCTGAAATACACACTTAATAATACATTACATCCTAGTTAATAAGACGGTCGATCCCAAAGTGGTCATTCAATTTCAAATTTACTCGCTGATTTGATTGGTTATCATGCATGATTTCATTTTGTTGGTTTTCTTTGTAAACGGTCATCGGTTATGGATTAGTGTTCATCTAACGAAGCCCACATTTGAATTGTCATATTTTTTTTTGCGATAAATATAACTTGACCGGTTGCTTATTTGGATACATTAATGAATATATCGGTTGTAGAGAGATCGTCAGTCGATGATTTGTAAATATATTCACCGACCGAAAATTTTAACGTGCTAAAAATCCACATCGATAATTTTTCACCAATTTTTAACTTATCTTTCCCCACTAGCAGTTGAAACATAGAAAACAGCTAAGTTGGCAAATAGTGATATCGGTTTAAAATTTAAAATCATAACGAATGTCCATTTCCTGATTTTGTAAGGCCTGGGAAAGATCAAGGTCCTGTAACAGAAATACTTATTTCATTGATGTTTGAACTTCTTTTGAATATTTTTGTAAGTTTTAGTATTCATCATGAAGTGGCTAGTGGGATTTTTCACATTGTTACAGCATGAGGATTTATTTACTTATAATAATTTTATTTATTTATTTATTGACACGGTGTATCACCAAGGTATGAAATGAATACACATAATAAAACATTCAGTTTCGATTCCAAGAATATTTTTATGCAATAATGTAAAATTGAATGGTGTTATCATTCATTCATTATTTTACTTACATGTGTAGTCAACATTATTTTCCATGAACCAGTCAAAGGTTTTACTATCACAGCTTCGTGTCACTACTCCCATACTATAGCATTTCTCGTGAAGGTAGCTGTTCCAAGGCGCATAATTCCTAGCATAAAAAATTTGGTGTTGGGTACGATACCATTCATTGTCGTATTTACCGTCTACAAGATGTATAAGTACCCAATAGGGGGTGAAATATCCAATTGTTAATAGCCAAAAACTAACGAAATATATAATCCCAAACACAATCACAACTCTGAACTTTATCCTTTTCGAACGCATTTTATTTCCCCTCAAACATGCAAACAAAAAAAACAAATGAGAAGATGCAACTTGTAGGTATTACTTTTATTGATACCCTTCTTTTGTGAAAGATTGATTTCTCATATAGGATACATGTTTGCATCCAGTGCATAGAGTGCTTCTAAATCCAAAATTAAAATTCAACGTAAGAATTACACAGTTATAATCATATTATTTTTATCAGTACAGATTTTGTAAAGACTTTAGATTACTTTTGAATACACATTATTTTGTATGTTTATTTCTTATCACCACTACATGAAAAATGAGACGGATAAGTGATTTATTTTAGTTAGCTTTCAATTTGGTTTTGTTTGATTTTCAAACGTTACTTTTCATCACATGTTTGCAATAAATACATGTATTAACGTATAAAAAATTAAATATTGAATGTTAAAGTACCGGCCACAAATAGGCTTTTTCGAACCGAGTCTGCAGCATTTTTAATTTTCCTTTCTTCTTGTGCTTTGAGACTTTCCCGTTTTTTCAATCTGTATTTTAACTATGTATGCCCTAAACGTGTAAATGTGAGAGATATTTATGAAAGGTAAAAAAACGCATTTAATGTTTTAATATAACACATACTTTTTATGTAAATTGCATATATCTTAAAAATTGTATCCGGCAGATAGGGTTGAATGTAAGATATAATTCCATTTGATAAAGTCTAACACGGGTTAAATATCTTTTTAAAATGGATTTTAAAATTAGATGTGCAAGGAATTTGTTGATTTTGAAAGCGTTAAAAATCTAAATGATTTACATAACGCATAATATGTATATGGCCACGTCATACAATTAAAAAGCTATGGTCAGAAGTAATTCAAAAGGACATTACAAAACTTGTATGCTGCAATTGTCAATATTTAAGAATAGTTTCAAGAAATACTTATTTAATCAACTTTAGCACGGTCCGTATGTATTATATATACAAGATACGCTCTTTATATTCATACATGATTATGTTTTCTAATAATGGGTGTCTGTCTTAGTTTCAAGTTTTTTGACTGTGTTAATTTTGTAAGTTAATTTTACTTTTTAAATTGCAGATTAAAATGATGCACTGATGAAAGTATTATGTTTAATGATAAATAAAATGAATTGTATGAATGTTCAGTATATGTGTTAATATATGTTAAAATTGTGATAACCATTTAATCATTTCATTTACATGTTATATTTTCTTTGATTGATATGACATACCATTTACATGGCTCTAAATTTCTAACTTATTGCATTTTATTCTATCAAATTGTTATATCTATTTTGTTAAGGGGGAATGGTTCCACTTTAGAAAATGTATCATAGATAAGTTTTGAAATTTATTTTTTTATTTTGATGAGGGAACGGTTCCCTCTTACGGGTAACCTTGCTCCAAATTTCTAAATTATTGCATTTTATTCTATCAAATTGTTATATCTGTTTTGTTGAGGGGGAACGGTTCCACTTTAGAAAAAGTGTTACAGATAAGTTTTGAAATTTATTTTTTATTTTGATGAGGGAACGGTTCCCTCTTACTGGTAACCTGGCTCTAAATTCTAAATTATTGCATTTTATTCTATCAAATTGTTATATCTATTTTGTTATGGGGGAACGGTTCCACTTTAGAAAATGTATCATAGATAAGTTTTGAAATTTATTTTTTTATTTTGATGAGGGAACGGTTCCCTCTTACGGGTAACCTTGCTCCAAATTTCTAAATTATTGCATTTTATTCTATCAAATTGTTATATCTGTTTTGTTAAGGGGGAACGGTTCCACTTTAGAAAAAGTGTTACAGATAAGTTTTGAAATTTATTTTTTATTTTGATGAGGGAACGGTTCCCTCTTACTGGTAACCTGGCTCTAAATTCTAAATTATTGCATTTTATTCTATCAAATTGTTATATCTATTTTGTTAAGGGGGAACGGTTCCACTTTAGAAAATGTATCATAGATAAGTTTTGAAATTTATTTTTTTATTTTGATGAGGGAACGGTTCCCTCTTACGGGTAACCTTGCTCCAAATTTCTAAATTATTGCATTTTATTCTATCAAATTGTTATATCTGTTTTGTTAAGGGGGAACGGTTCCACTTTAGAAAAAGTGTTACAGATAAGTTTTGAAATTTATTTTTTATTTTGATGAGGGAACGGTTCCCTCTTACTGGTAACCTGGCTCTAAATTCTAAATTATTGCATTTTATTCTATCAAATTGTTATATCTATTTTGTTATGGGGGAACGGTTCCACTTTAGAAAATGTGTCGTAGATAAGTTTTGAAAATTGTCTTTTATTTCGATGAGGGAACGGTTCCCTCTTACTTGTAACCTTGTTCGTAATTTCTAAATGATGGCATTTTATTCTATCAAATTGTTATATATATTTTAAGGGGGAACGGTTCCACTCTAGAAAATGTGTCATAGATAAGTTTTGAAATTTATTTTTTATTTCGATGAGGGAACAGTTCCCTCTTACCGGTAACATGGCTTTAAATTTCTATATTACTGCATTTCATTCTATCAAATTGTTATACATGTACCAGTTTTGTTAAGGGGGAACGGTTCCACTTTAAAAAATTTGTTATAGATCAGTTTTGAAATTTATTTTTTATTTTGAGGAGGGAACGGTTCCCTCTTACCATTTACATGGCTCTAAATTTCTAAATTATTGCATTTTATTCTATCAAATTGTTATATCTATTTTGTTAAGGGGGAACGGTTCCCCTTTAGAAAATATGTTATGATAAGTTTTGAAATTTACTTTTTATTTCGATGAGGGAATGGTTCCCCCTTAAGCATAATGTATCTCTTATTACTGAAAAATTGCTTTTTATTTATTGTATTCTGTACATGGCTTTTGTTCTTCGGGGGAACGGTTCCCCCGAAAACATTTGCAAAAGAAACAAAAAATAAAATTTGGATGTTTACTTTAGCTGTTTGTCTTTTACTTTTCACAAAACAATACCATTACTTTAGCTGAAAATAATGTAAAAATAGTGCATTAAAAAGGGGAACGAGTGTATTTCCCCTTTTTAAAATATATCAAGCATTGTGTTCTTTTGTTTGTGTGTTTTTATTTATTTTTATTTTATTTTATTATTTTTTTTATTTTAGAAGGCCGCATTGTAAATAAGATGTTGCAATCTGTATATGTCTTAATGTGTTACCTTCGGTAAATAAAGTTATTATTATTATTATTATTAATTCTAAATATCGTTATAAAAAGTGAATGTTTAGGAGGTTTTGTTGAGTGTAAACGCGTTCATAACCTTAGAGCTCATTATATAATATGTTTTTATTACCGTGAAAAGTCAATATGTCATTATATAATAATTTGTTTTGTGAGGCGAACGCTTAAAATCTGAGATTTATCAACAAATATATGACACGGGGGAGAATCACGCCGTTCGTTACACAAACAAACAAGATGGCGGATGCAGCCGAATAGTAGGTTTTTTCCCTTTTTTCTCTATAATTCGTGGTGTTCTAGTGTAAAGGTACATATAATAACCTTCTTCACAATTTTCCTGGCACACAGAATTTTATTACACGATGTTTTGTACCGTACTTGATCTGAAATGCGCGTCACCAGATTAGAAGCGAGATAATTTTCCACCGGATTGAGCGTGGTAACGTTCGGCTTCTTTTAATGTCACTGTTTTGTTAACATATATGTATATTAACTGAAACCACTTACTTTAAAAAGTTGTAATATATCGTCATCTAAATATCCATGCCCATTCAGACTAGAATAAGCTGACTAGAATAACCGATGTAAATATTAATATCGGGGCATTTACCGGAAATGCTGACGTATGGCGCACAAAATATCAGCGCATAGTCTCTGTAGGATAATTTTTTGAATCATTCGATTTTCTATCGTTTTTACAAACTACCAGATGTAAAAGAAGCCAATATGTGAAATTAGCCAAAAACTTATGAAATAAACAATCCCAAACAAAATCACAACTGCGAACTTCAACTTTGTTGACAGCATCTTTTCCAACCAACTTTTCGAAACAGTTAAATAATGTAAGTAGTTGTTTAACCTTTTCCCTTATATAAGCGTGTTTCGACGGCTTTTTGCCCCCCTCCCCCTTTTGAGGCCTCAAACAGTGAGAAAAATGCCCTATTTAGGCCCCAAAACACTGTTTTTCGTTTGAGAAATATTGTTAAAAAAGTGACCACTTTTTTGGCGCCGTCCCCATCCAAGAAAATTTTTGGACATGTGACAGGCTAAAAATGGCCTCAGGTCGATCTTAGGGTAACTAGTAACCGACGCTGAAAAACCTTTTACTCTATCTCAATTCATTGAGAAGTTGCAGCACTTTGAAATCAGTTTTGATGGAAAAAAACAATGCAAAATAGTGATTTTTGGCAATTTTGAGACGTCCCCCCGTTGCAATGGTAACAGGAAATTTACCATTGAGCATGCTGTTATAGAGGCTTTGGTGTAGTCAACATTTGTGCCAAGTTTCATTAGTATTGAAGCATTTTTCATAGTTTCATAGCAGTTTGAACTTGTTACAGGAGGCTTTTCAATGAAAACGGCCATTTTTCGCAATATGCTCATGGGGTAAAAGGTTAAAGAGATTGCCTCTATTTTTCCATTAATCTGTTTAATACATTTCAGTTTCGTGCCGTTCCTCTTAATTGAATTGATAATGTTTGCTAGTATGAACGTCGTAAATACATTATAAATGCCTATTATCGGTGATTTTTTTTGTTCCGGAGGTCGTGAAGAGAACCTGCATTATTTTCAATTTTGCCGTTGTTGTCGTTCTAAAGGGATTTCATTCTTCTACTTATCATTTTAAGACATAATTAAGGTTACTTACTTATTTCTAAGATGTAAGCTTCAAAAACTATTTCTGATCGCCATTTATTTCTATCGTATTTATCATCTACCAGATGTTTAAGAAGCCAATATGGTGTGAAATATCCAATCGTTATTAGCCAAAAACTTATGAAATAAACAATCCCAAACAAAAATTATCATCCTTACTTCAGAGACTATGCCTGATATTTTGTGCGCGATACGTCAGCATTTCCGAAAAATGCCCCGATATATTAATACTTACGTCGGTTATTCCAGTCAGCTTAACATTTTTCTTTGCACAGTACTGTGTATGATTTTTCT